ATCGGTGACGCTGCTAAGGTATGTGAAAGTTTCCAAATCTTCCACAGTTTCTCCACCAGTTGTGAATAAGTGGGTGTTCTCTGCGTTGTATTGGAGGGTTTTTCTCTTGCCCTTATATGTGTTAAGGCCTACTGATTTGGAGGCATCTGTTACACTGATTGTCTCGACATGAACTTTTTAGTGTATATGGGATAGAAGGCCCAGGTCATCTACGAAGTCCAAATAGTCTAGTTGCATCCAAGCTGTCCATTGTGTTACGTGCTTCCACTCAGATGTGGAGGTGGTCTTTATGATTCAGCCAACTCCCAGAAGAAAGAGAAACGGTTAGAGTAGGCAGTCTTGTATGAATTCAGTCCTCACTTGGAATGTGCCTGCCAACTGTCCTACAAGAGTGACTTTGCACTGGGTCCGTCGTATGAATTCTGCATGATGTTGACGATCTTCTCAGATACACCATAGTGCTGAAGAAGTTACCATAATATTCCTCTACCCACACTGTCAAACGCCTCATAGCCAAGAGTGTTGATATGTAGTAGCAAGTTGAACCCAAATGACTGCTTAACAGTGATTCGTAGTGTTGTAGATCACCAACGTAGATGATCTATGTCGAAATGATCGGACGCCTACTCGAGTTAGACGTGAATGGTGTGACAAACTAGCTAACGTCGAAGTCACACCTCGTGGTCAGCGCTTTACGTGGACTACCCCATTGACGTATCAAGGTACCATATATGCTTTGAAGAGTGTACAACACAGAGGACGTTAATACAGAAATATATTAGTTAAAGTAGATACAAGCCAAAGTAAGACCACTGTCGCATGGGCCAGTCCATGGCATACGATTAACCGATGCGCGTTGGTTGTCCTTGACCTTGACGAGGATCGATGATTTGTTCGATATTCAATGATCCAACTGCGGGATGATTTGGCCAGGGCTCAGTTGAATTTCACCGGCCCTACAGTGTCGTCATTTCATTTGTGCACGACGGGTCCTTATGGAATCCAACCTATTGATCGCGAGGTTCGGCGTCTGCTGAATCTTCTTTTCGGTCCAAAATCACTGCTGAAAACATCCCTCGGTACCGATAGCATTGTGATGCCTCTGTAGTTCACACACTTATTAAGAACTTTTTTTGATATCCTGAGAAGTTACTCTTCTTTCCGGTCTGTCGACACTCATTTGTACAATCGAATCTTCTTGGATAGAACGTGGAGCATGTTTGCAGTTAGTTGTATGTCTGACTTTAGTGCTTCAGTCGTTACGTTGTCAGGTCCTGCTGGTTTCCCACTCTTCATTTGTCCGATGACCATCTTGATTTCCGCCGTCTTTGGTTAGGTGGCAGATATAAGAAGGTCTGTACCTGTTGCTTTGATGTCTTGTGGATTTAACGGGGGTGGCCAATTCAAGAGATCCTCAAAGTATTCTACCCATCTGTTCCTCTGTTCTTGAATTTCAGTGACTGGCTTGAAATTCTTTGTTCCTGCCCAGTATCTCTGGTTCACTATATTTCCCTAGCAGATTCTCCGTCGTGTCATATAGTTGTTTCATATTTCCTTCTCTTACTGCTTTTTCCGCTGTCGTCGCTGGGTCTACCATATATTTCTGCTTGTCATCTATAATGCTCATCTTCACTTGTTTGTTTGATTCAGTGTTTTCAGCTTGTGTCTTGATTTTCTTCTTCCCTTGAATCCTGTTCAGGGTTTCGACGAAGGTCCATTTCTAAAGATGATGCTTATTGTGAACCAGAACCTCCTGAAACGTTGTAGTTAGTGCTTCTTCCATCACTTCCCGACTTTTCTCCACAGCAGTTTCCTCTTCTTTGAGTAAATTTTGTAAGGCTTCGAACCTGTTGTTGAGATCTATCTTGAATTGGATGAGTTTGTCAGTATCTCGTAGGAAGGCTATATCAAACCTTTGTAATGGTGTTTCTCCAAATTTCAAATGATTAATTAACTTCACTTTCATCTTGGTCATCACAATGTGGTGATCTGTAGTTATTATCAGCTCTTCGCCTGGTTCTCACGTCTTCCGTTAATCTTCTTAGTTTTTAACTGATGCAAATATGATCTATCTGGTTCTCTGTGGCATGGTGCGGTGAAACTCATGTAGCTCTGTGTATGTGTCTGTATGAGGATATTGTGCCGCTCATAACCAATTTGTTAAATGCCCATAGATTCGCAAATCTGTTACCATTCTCCTTCATTCCCCCCAGTCAGTCCATGTGGTCCAATGATACCATCATGGTCGATGTTGTCTATTCGGACTTGGGCGTTTAGGTCTCCAATCAGGTTGGTCAGGTCGTTTCCTAACACCTTCACTATGATCTGTTGCAACCTCTCTTTAAACCGATCTTTATCGTCTTCGTTGCTATCATTTTGGGTGCATAACATTGGGTAATTCTGAATATGTCTTCCTGCTTTGTTTTAAAAGATGCCTTGATGATCCGAGATCTATGGGATTCTCATTAAAAATGTGGATTTCGTGCTTCTTTGGACAGCATCAGAGCAACTTGCTGCGTGTATGGAACATCTTCTTCTCCGTGACCAGAGTATATCAGAATATTTCCTGAAACTGGCCTTTTCTATCCAGCTTGGGTACAGTGGGTTTCGCTAATTCTGAACACTTCCAAGTTCTATCTGATCATTTTCGTAGCCACTTGATTGGTCTTTCCTGTCTCCCGAATTGTCTGGACATTCCATGTGCCTGTAAAAATTGTCGCTCTAGTTGTCAGAAAGAATATCGGTCTTGTGATTTCAGACAAATCTCGGTTTTCACCATGAGGATTCATACTTCTAAATGAAGTTCTTTCGACTCGAAGGGCATGGTTTAAGTGTTGTAAATGATTTTTTTCCGGTTAGCATTTTTTAGAAAGCTTGTTTTCTATGGAATGGGGTTGCTGACCCTGTGCCTAACCCTCCTCGTTTACCTGGACTTGGGACCGTTAGTAACTTAAGAAAAGTTACAGGCAAAGTTAGTAGACATAGATGAAGTGGAGAATGTTACCCATCTCATCTGTAGTGGAGTAGAAATTAGTGTACTCCCGGCAAATTCAACTTTTCCCTAAAAAGAAGTCATATCCAGTCTGCAGGTTACTACAACGTTCAGCCTAACGTAAGTGTACACAAACATGTACATTTGATATTCGAAAACGTGAAGATTTTGATGAATGGTATGTATCCACCCTATCAAAACAATCTTTCCGTAGCTCCAAGTAAGCGGACGTTACGGGATGGAAACACTAAAACAACTGTCCGTGGCAAAATGAGTTTTCAACCAAGTCCATGTCCAGTAGTAGTCTAATACATATTTGGCCTGTACTTAGGACCGATACATCATGGGTAACCGACACTCTTCAAAGCAGTGTCAACAGTGACATACACAATAAGTTATTCTACACATCAGTTCACAACATAAAGACCATTAATATTCTCAAGCTAACTAGTCAGTGCTTTCGAGTAGCTTAGGTAAAAGAATTTTAAAGTCGGTCAAGCGATATATTTGAGGATATTTGTGAGCTTCAACAGTGATTGAAGGTGACAACGTGAAAATCATTCAAGACTGCAATTTACGTCAAATCTAGAACCTGAAATCTACATCAGAAAGCGCAAACATCCAGTCATAAACCGTCTTTTGAAAGTCCATAATCGAGTTTGCTCTAGGACCCAGCTAGGAAACACTGAGAAAATTTCCAAACCTTCTGTCAATCACGTATTCAGTAATCCTGCATAAGCAAGCAAATTGGCTGAAGACAGTTGAATCACAAGCATAATAAGAAAGCACATTCTCAATATGTTTGCCAAGTATTTGAAGAAAAAACATTAAAGTAGGATTACTTTGAGCGCACTGAAACCCAAAATCAAAACCAACTCAACGGACCTCCTCTGAGATATAACTGAGGGTCATTTCGCCAGCCCACAAGAAAACAGGATAATAGCGACTCCCGATTACCAAGAACCAACCCCCAATAAAGAAACCTTCAAATTCAACAAAATGATGAATCCCCACTCTAGAGTTATGCCCATTATGCAGCTAGATATTTTGGTACATCTTGATTAATTCTTGTCGAGGGTTCAGGCACATTACTGACAAACAAACTGGATGCAACGTACGTATTGAATCCACTCGGCAAAGCCTCCACTACCACGAAAAACTGTACACATCTGCCACGTTCTAGTTAGTTAGCCTCTGTGTAGCGTTGTTCAGTGTTGAATAAATGTAAATAAAAAAATAATTCCCTATCACGCGTATTCCTTAGCAAAAAAGTAACTAAGCAATAAAATAGATTTATAATAACGAAAGGCTGAGACGTGATGTGACCGGGAATTACATTTGAGCACTCACACAAGAATTATGGATTTGAATACCAACAAGTCAATGAATTGATTGTATTGTTTTCCAATTATACATCATGCAAATAATGCAAATGTACAATGCTTAAAAATTTATTGCCACAAGTAACGCTCTTCTACTACTCATATCAATCTGCAAAGTAAAGTCTGGTGAATAAAGACACTCGTGGGAGTTTATTTGTGAGAGCCAATTAACCAATTCTTTTTAGAGGTACAACATGGCAAAATGGACTGTAGACATACCTACTCTTTACAAGTAATCTAATGCTAGAATAAACTGTGGTTTGAAGTGGTTCAAGTGATTAATTTTTGTGACTTTTTCAGGAGTAGAGTCAACGTATTCCCAGATACGCATCCCCATGAAAAGTCAAGCTGTTATTCCCAACAAACAGGTTCGGACATTGAAAGTTGTTTAAAATGATTGGCCATAGTCGTCTCGACTTCCTGTGGGAGCGGAAGTTCTCAGTCTGTCTTCTGCGTTTGTGATTCCCAGCATTTTTACCCCACCTGCCATAAAAACCCCAGGAAGTAAGGAGACACAAAAGCATGTGAAGTAGTAGGTTTCCACTTTTGGAGTATTCAGTTTACATTTCAGCTAAAGGTAACAAGGTGGGTACGGAGAATCGTAACGACTTGAGTGAGGCACATCCACAGTTGCTGAAATATTTCTGGTAGTTGATTCGATCATTTATGTAAGTTACATAGGTTATAGTTCACATGTACATTTCTTATCTAAGACTACAACTCGATCGTTATACGGGGTCGTTAGGAGGTAATCAATAGTGACTAAACTTAGTTATTGAGTGTTGTCTAGTGCATTCTCTATTGACTGGTATTGTTGGAATCGGAGTAACATAATTACCTTCGGAACTTTCCTCTTTTGGGTAAACCTTGTACTGATAACGTTGAAGCACCTTTTTGGTCAGTTCGGTGGAAGAACTCTCCACACAATGCTCAACAGTTTTATCTGCCCCCATTTAGAGTACGGAAACAGTATTTCCTCCCCCACACCAAAAGGATAAGGACACTTTGGGATCTATCCAAAAGTGGGCTACGTAATCAGTTCGGGCACTCAAATTCAAGGCTTATGAAGAGCGCACTAAACCATAACCCGTTAGAGTACAAGCGTCTTAGAGGTGACCTACAGCACCAACACTTTTTGACATCCCCTTAAACACCTACCTAGGTTTGTCTCCAACACAAACCTAACGGGTAATACCCAGAAACTAGAAGTACAACTTGGCCGATCGGACTGAAGACAACTTTGATTCCTCAGTCAAATGCTGGAATTTACTACCGGTTGAGCTAATTCAAGCGGTTTCACAGTAGTTCTTTAAGAGAAAACGACATTCTTAAGGACTAAGTATAGTATTTTACTATGATTTACCAATTTCGTTTTCCTCTTGTAATTATCCTTAGGTTCCTGCCTGGAGGTGTTGGTGATCCACTGCTACTAGACACTGATGCCCGTTAAGGGGAAGCATCTCCCATTCCGTCCACAACCATTTGAACCACTCATGTTTAACGTGTATTGGAGTTATATAGTTCTGGTTTAAAGAGGTGGGTCTTCTAAACTGCCGTAATGTCTAATTATTAAACGTGTCTAGGGAACTGCATGACTGACAAATGGCATGCTAATCCTAAAATAAGAACTTAAAAATGGTTGGTTGGCTAACTGATAACTTTTCTTTTTTGCTTTAGTAAATATTTTAATCTAGTTTCACAACCTGGAATGGTACGATACTGTTATTACCTTATGCACCTTCACTCTAGCCTCAGACGTTCTTTACTATTTCACGGTAGGATTTTATTTGGATAACTAGTCTCTAGTCACTTCTAAGAAAGTAGTAAAGTAATAGCAAAGAGGCATCAAGTCAACGATTATTTTGTAAAAAGGTGTCTGACAAGTTTGGGATTTGTCCATGTAAATTGCGGGGGACTGTGTGCTAATTATTTTCTTAAATTACATCACATTTGTCAATAATTAGTGTAACTTATCGCTTTTACCTGGTATGACGTCAGTGGACTCTCCAAGTAAGTTACAGGCAAATTATCATTTACTTTTCCTCAAAAATGTCGGATACTTGACATCTGGAAATTAATAGTATCTTTCGTAAAATGCCAGTTTACTGTGTGTTCGCTAACTATCAAGCGACACTCACCTTTCACGGCTACTAATGTAAATGATGCAGTATTTCTTGGATTAAGGTAACCAAATTAGGGTCAGTTTCTTGATGTCATGAAATATCCAAGGGTACAGGGATATGGATTGGAATACGTTCCACTGAGCTTCTGGTTCTTAATCATTAGCTGCGAAGGAGCCTAACGACACTGGGTATTTGGTCGGTTTGACGGTAATCTAGATGTATACTTTCGCTTCCTGGATGTTTATTTCGTACTACCCGTTGGTAAGTCTTCGAATAGAATATCCATAATGCAGCTTTTTGCACTGTCGTTCATGAAAGCTACTGTTTCTTAGTTGACGGGTTATGTATAATCGCCAAAGTACCGAGATCCGTAGTTTTCCACATATGCCTTTAAATTAACAGTCTTGCTTTTGCTCCTTTTTTTAGGACCCAATCTATGGCTGGGGGCATGCTTCTTACCTATGTATATCTACATGCTTTGATGTGCCGAAGGATTCCAAATGCTTGTTCGCAGCTTTGAGGAAAATATGGTATTGATGGGTGTTTACGTTCCAGTCCACCTGAATGATATTATTTAAAAGACTTCTGATTGATTTCTGCATGTATCACATGTCACTAATTTCACTTTTGTTTGTTATTAATATATCATAGAAACTATATTCTTCTTCCTATAACAGATGGACAACACTTGCAACCGTGTAAATTGGAACGGGGTTTCTTTTTACTTGGCTTTACTTTGAAAGTCATCAATGTTTGTGATTGATTTGTAAGTACTGTTTTCGCAGTGACATTTGACAAAATTACTTGAGGAATCTGAGTAGCCCTTGAATTTAGAGTTAGATGGGTTTAAAATTCATATAGTAAAACTTTTTGTTTAAAATTTGATAGCGTTAAAATCATTTCGGTCGTGCAGCTATCACCATATAAAGAAGCCTCAGGAAATTCCGTATCGGCAAAGAATGTGAGTTAACTACTAAGATAATCCTTCATGTTGATGTCTATCTTCACATACCTGTCTGTTTCTTAGGTGTCATAGGATCACTCTCGCAGTGTATTCGTAGCTCTCTTTAACGTCAAGCCATTCGCAAGAAAGCGTTACATTCTGGGACGTACTTCCTGCTCACCCAATAGATAGACCAATCAAAATTCATGGTAAATGTCTCCCACTTTTCCCATGTGGCGTTAATAAAACTTTTCGTAGGCACATCAACCAGTAAATTATATCCACTAACTTCACAAACTTGTTAATTTTATTGTCTATAGCATACAAAGGTTCCTGAATATTGTGAGCGTTGGTACCGCTCATTTGGAAGTCGTCCATTCCTCCAATATGCCCTGTAAGATTCTTAACTGTTATGTCTCTCTTTCTATTCACAGTTTGTTTTATGAGTTCCGTTGGGTTACATGCCCTTACATTAATCTCGATAACTAATATTCTCAGCGCAAGAACGTGTGCCTTTCAAATTGGTGCCACGTGTTCAGTTCTCGGGGACCCTAATAAGTTTCTTAAGTTTAATTAATGTCTCAAAGTATTCTGTGGCTCGTATTCACTTTAATTAAGAGAGCGCCTAAAAAATGTACGCCATTAGACCTAGTTCGTCTCGTCTTCACTGCTCTGGTTGTAAACTTGGTCGAAACTTGGTGTGACTGATTCCATACCTCTATAAGCATATTTTGATATATTAAAACTCAAGTTAAATAATTTCACAGTAGACGGCCTTGAAATTGTTCAGAATATCATGGTTCTCTTCGGCCTGCACTTATCCCTGTCGATCTTAAATTCGACCGGGTATGGCTACTCTGGTCAACTCATTCCTGTACGGGGCTGTGTTCATGATATCTGTTCTTGTACTTCGTTTGTGTTTGGATATTTGGTTGACTGACTGGCTTATAGTCGCTGAGTATCCCGCTAATTAAGAACAACCGGTCTCTGTAGAACTATCCTGCCATTCATGGTACGAAACCATTGTTAGTCCTTTAAGCTATTAATCACTTACAGATTTGCACTGGGAAACAAATCTTAAAGCCGGTAAGGTTGTATGTATTCCTTTAATAGAAGTGGTGGCATCGTGCTGTCTGAAATTATTGTGAATGCTGCATATTGGGTAAAGTCGTATCCTAGTGGCTTCTAAACTTGGAAGTTACTAATTTTCAAGTGTCAGGCTGTTAAGAAGAGTTCTGATAAAAAGAGCAGAAATTTGTGCCGTGAGTGCTTACTTGTCAGATGATTTCTCGTGAAATTTCAAATATTAGTCAAGACAACAAAGAGCATGATCAGATGTTTAGTGAATGACCACTACTTTGTGATACTGGGATGCGGGGTTGACATTGTAGTTCCCTATCTTTTAAAGTTGAATGAAATTTAAAATTCAAAGGTTCTGTGTACCACAAAGCTAAATGTTATCATTTAGATATCTAATCAAAGTCCGGCGAGTATTTTGGACTGCAGCACCCGTTTTGAACAGCTCACGAACAAGATCTTTCTGACTGACATTAACTGACTAATTTGGTCTCAGAAATATTCTTAAAACAGCATACATTACAAAGCTACTTTTAGTGTCGACCAAGAATGATCAGAACTGCAATAAATTATATACGTACTGGTTTATAAGCTAAATCATAGAGGAAGTTTGTTAAAACGTTCGAAGACAGTAAGCTGGCTAGTTATTGCAATTGGACCAGTGCACAGAAGCCACAAGCTGACGAAAAAGATGACTTTGCTGATTCCGTCTGGCGTTGCTTGAAAAATCAGATAGAACGAACACGGAAGTTTGCGCATATTATTAGGGTTTCACAGTAAAAAAACTAGAAAGCTAGCGAGACTACAAAAAAAGGAAACCTTACATTGAAAACACATGCAGTCACGTTCAAAGAGACGTGCAGAATGTGGAAGAGAACAAAAAATAATCATAAAATGTCAAGAAGAAAAACGAATATGTTCCGGTATCGAAAAGAATAACAGAATATATACATCAGACACAAATTATCAAAAGAAAAGTTATTAAATACCACAACGTTCTCCATCATATGAAAAACTTATATATGAGTAAAAACAACTGAACCATAAGCGACACTTTAAGAAACCCGGTCAACGAAAAAAAATACGTAGAACTTTAAACACTCAAATATACGCTAGTGATAATTAGGTTTTCATGTGGCTAGTGAGTGTTGGGTGTTGTGATGATCACGGAGAAATGGAAGGAGTAGGCGTTGAATGAATTTTGGTATTTGGTGTACAGGTATGTATTTCTGTGTGTGTTATACCGCGAAAGAATCAATCAGGTATGTCACAAATGTTGACGCGTAATAATAATATAATAGATGATGGTATTAATTATTGTAGGGTGTTAGTTGCCTGAGTGTTTATTTCTCGTTTTAGACTAGTGTGAATTAATTGTGTTATAGACGGTTGTATTTGGTGGAAGAATGGCGTTACTCTCTGGGATAGGATTCGTTGGATTTGGAAATGAATTTGGAGTTGGTGATGGTAGTGTTAGTGGTGGGTAACTGAACGACTAGTTAGTATATTGTTGTTGATTGTTAACTATGCAAATGTGTGGTTATTTCTTTCCTGTGATAGAGTTCGAGGACAAGGCTTGCTGTGGATGATAGGTGATGAATTTGCAATGAGCAATAATGGAATCAGTAGTCTCTGTGATGATTGTAGGAATGGAAATGGTTGTTTTAATTGACGAGAAGGTGTTGTGGTGAGTGTGCCACGAATGGATCAACAAGTAAGCTTTGACACATGTTAATGCTTTGACAGGAGAACTGAATTCTGTGGATTGATGGACTGTGAGTGAGTGTGTGAGTAGTTAAGTAAGTGAGTAAGTAAGTGAGTGCCAATGTGAATCGAGATTGTGGAATGTTTTCTCTCTGTGTATATTTCCACTAGTGATATTTAGGTTTTCATGTGGCTAGTGAGTGTTGGGTGTTGTGATGATCACGGAGAAATGGAAGGAGTAGGCGTTGAATGAATTTTGGTATTTGGTGTACAGGTATGTATTTCTGTGTGTGTTATACCGCGAAAGAATCAATCAGGTATGTCACAAATGTTGACGCGTAATAATAATATAATAGATGATGGTATTAATTATTGTAGGGTGTTAGTTGCCTGAGTGTTTATTTCTCGTTTTAGACTAGTGTGAATTAATTGTGTTATAGACGGTTGTATTTGGTGGAAGAATGGCGTTACTCTCTGGGATAGGATTCGTTGGATTTGGAAATGAATTTGGAGTTGGTGATGGTAGTGTTAGTGGTGGGTAACTGAACGACTAGTTAGTATATTGTTGTTGATTGTTAACTATGCAAATGTGTGGTTATTTCTTTCCTGTGATAGAGTTCGAGGACAAGGCTTGCTGTGGATGATAGGTGATGAATTTGCAATGAGCAATAATGGAATCAGTAGTCTCTGTGATGATTGTAGGAATGGAAATGGTTGTTTTAATTGACGAGAAGGTGTTGTGGTGAGTGTGCCACGAATGGATCAACAAGTAAGCTTTGACACATGTTAATGCTTTGACAGGAGAACTGAATTCTGTGGATTGATGGACTGTGAGTGAGTGTGTGAGTAGTTAAGTAAGTGAGTAAGTAAGTGAGTGCCAATGTGAATCGAGATTGTGGAATGTTTTCTCTCTGTGTATATTTCCACTAGTGATATTTAGGTTTTCATGTGGCTAGTGAGTGTTGGGTGTTGTGATGATCACGGAGAAATGGAAGGAGTAGGCGTTGAATGAATTTTGGTATTTGGTGTACAGGTATGTATTTCTGTGTGTGTTATACCGCGAAAGAATCAATCAGGTATGTCACAAATGTTGACGCGTAATAATAATATAATAGATGATGGTATTAATTATTGTAGGGTGTTAGTTGCCTGAGTGTTTATTTCTCGTTTTAGACTAGTGTGAATTAATTGTGTTATAGACGGTTGTATTTGGTGGAAGAATGGCGTTACTCTCTGGGATAGGATTCGTTGGATTTGGAAATGAATTTGGAGTTGGTGATGGTAGTGTTAGTGGTGGGTAACTGAACGACTAGTTAGTATATTGTTGTTGATTGTTAACTATGCAAATGTGTGGTTATTTCTTTCCTGTGATAGAGTTCGAGGACAAGGCTTGCTGTGGATGATAGGTGATGAATTTGCAATGAGCAATAATGGAATCAGTAGTCTCTGTGATGATTGTAGGAATGGAAATGGTTGTTTTAATTGACGAGAAGGTGTTGTGGTGAGTGTGCCACGAATGGATCAACAAGTAAGCTTTGACACATGTTAATGCTTTGACAGGAGAACTGAATTCTGTGGATTGATGGACTGTGAGTGAGTGTGTGAGTAGTTAAGTAAGTGAGTAAGTAAGTGAGTGCCAATGTGAATCGAGATTGTGGAATGTTTTCTCTCTGTGTATATTTCCACTAGTGATATTTAGGTTTTCATGTGGCTAGTGAGTGTTGGGTGTTGTGATGATCACGGAGAAATGGAAGGAGTAGGCGTTGAATGAATTTTGGTATTTGGTGTACAGGTAT